AAGGAATTGGAGAGAAGACAGTGGAGTCAGAATTTTCTAGGAAGTTGATTTGGAAGACATTTTGCCATTTTTATTGAGGGTGACTGACAGGGCACATTTTGCCATTTTTATTGAGGGTGACTGACAGGGCAGAAAGATAGTGACAGCTCAGTGTCTCCTGTGAGCAGCATGGTGGCTGGCTGGATGCTTCTACCACTCCCTGTGACAATACAGACTGCACCATGCAGTTCTCCGAGGCACAGGGACTTCTCTCCAGGTACCACCGTTAGTCCAGACTTTCCAGGTTGAGAACTAGCCCTCGGCAAAACCGCCCTGGCTGCAGACTCCAGTTGCTGCTGGGTGGTGATGGCATACACTTTAATCCCAGCACTTGGGAGGCAGTTGAATGTCTTGAGTTTCAGGCCAGCCTGGTCTGCAGAGGTCCAGGCCAGCCAGGGTGACAGCCAGACCCAGTTTCAAAAAGCCAGTCTCAAACTGAGGAGTCCCCAAGTGGCTGTCACCTCTGAGTGTTTGGCTATACATTCTGAAGTGCCCACTAGCCGTCCAGGAAGAGCCGTTAGGTAGAATGTCTCGTAGAGCTCAGGGGCACGCGTCCTGGAAAGATACAGACTAGAATCAGCTAAAGGGAAAGACGCCCCAAGCATCCACCACCCTTCCTCGTGAGCTCAGGTTCAAGTACTCTCTTGGCACACAGTGTGGCAGTGTGTGGTTTGATGCCAGCTCACCTGGACAGCTCACCTAAGCCCCATATAGACAAGTGTCTTAGGGTTTCTATTGCTGTGATGAAATGCCATGACCAAAAGCAACTTGAGGAGGAGAGGGTTTATTTCAGTCTGTGTGTCTGTCTATATCACGGTCCGTCATTGTGGGAAGCCAGGGCAGGAATCTGGAGGCAGGCTCTCAAGCAGAGGCCATGGCGGAGTGCTGACCACTGGCCTACTCATGGTGGCTTGCTGAGGCTCCTGGCTTGTACTGTATGCTTAGGGGCTCACGGTGAGTTGAGCCCTGCCACATGGATCAAGAAAATGTACCACAGGCTAGTCTGCTGAGCTCATTTCCTTAATTGAGGTTCTGTCTTTTATAAGGACTAGGTGGTGTCAAATTGACATAAAAATAAAAACTACCTGGCGGAACGTTGGCCATGGCTGAACACAGTCTGCAGCCTACAGAGGTCACATTGATACCGGGTGGCTCTCACCTTCTAGTTATTGGCCAGACTTACTGATGTCCTGAGTCATCTTTGTACAAACAAGCGGCCCATTCTGAGTCAGCAGCAGCAGCTGTCAGATGGGGACTTTAGAGAGAGGACACTGGTCACTGAGGAGTTAAGGGCTGCCTTCCAGGAACAGAGGGCTGAGAACAGCCGAATTCTTGATTTCTGGAGCTTGGAAGTTCCTTCCAAGGACACGCGGTCTCAACTGTGTAGTCCAGGCTGGCTCTGAACTCAGGATTCTCCTGCCGCCACCGCCAGCTGACTTTTGATACTGAAGGCACTTTCAGAGTCATCGTGCCAAAGACAGGGAGTTGAGGAAGCTGGATTTGTGCTCCGAAGGCAGCACTCCATCTGTGTTGAAAAACGGACATTTTCATGTTACCAGCTTGTAGATGTGTGGGTGAGATTGTTTCAGAAGTGTGTAGAATGGGAACGAAGGAGAAGCCTGGACAGCCCCTTTCTGAGCCTCCGATGCCATCTGGGAAGCCACAAGCTGGCATATCCTCTAACAGGTTTCTTCCACCCACCACCCCCTGTCTTGTGGAGGCTACAACTGAGCGCAGTCTTCCCGGCTCCCCTCCCCCACTCCTCCTCTTTGTTTCAACACAGGGTTTCTCTCTGTAATCCTGGCGGGCCTGGAACTCGCTCTATAGAACAGGCTGGCCTGGAACTCAGAGATCCTTCTGCCTCTGCCTCTGCCTCCCAAATGCTGAGATTAAAGGTGTGCGCAAGTACTCTTGGTACTAAGTTATTTTTCAGTGAAAATACTTTCATTTTGAGTACTTGGAATTGTTAATTATTCAGATACCAAAAATAATTCCTTGTAAGATAAAGAGCTCATGTGTTGAGTTTCTGTGTTCCATATGATCTACTGGTTTAATTTTTTTTAAAGATTTTATTTATTTATTATGGATACAACATTCTGCTTCTATGTATATCACACACCAGCAGAGGGCACCAGATCTCATAACGGATGGCTGTGAGCCACCATGTGGTTGCTGGGAATTGAACTCAGGACCTCTGGAAGAGCAGCCAGTGCTCTTAACCTCTGAGCCATCTCTCCAGCCCTACTGGTTTAATTTTTGCTTGATTTTAAGATAACATCCAGTTATTGGTCCTCCAGACTCATCCTTGAGTGCTGGGGTTACAAGTATACACCTCAATACCATGGCCTGGTGTTAACAGCCCTTTTGAGAAAGTCATGGACTGCCATACATAGAAGGCCAACTTGAGGTCTTTATTAGTTGCCAATGAAGAGTAGGCTCTTGCCC